GAGAAGGGAACACAGATCATTCTTCCTGCCGCTGCCTATCATCGGGATGAAGACCTTTATCCCGAACCAGAGAARTTCGATCCAGAACGATTCTCGCCCGAACAGGTGGCAGCTCGTGATTCTGTTGAGTGGCTGCCCTTTGGGGATGGGCCCAGAAATTGTGTGGGAATGCGTTTCGGCCAAATGCAAACACGAATTGGTCTGGCCCAACTGATAAGGAACTTCAAGTTCACAGTTTGCAATAAGACTGATATACCCCTTACATATGATCCCAAATCGTTTGTATTGGGCACAGTTGGCGGTATTCACTTGCGAGTTGAGCGTGTTTAGGTGGAAATATGTAAATGTGTTCTGGACCGTGTTATCAGATGACAAAATAGTTGGCGATGCGGTCATACATGTTTATATAAACACGCATGATTCTTAATGACATATGGCATCTGTATTTATGTAAATGAGAGTGTTTTTTTCGAATATAACACATAATTAAATGCGAAACTTGTGGTGTGAACGGACTCATTAATACCCTCTATAAATACAAATGGCTTCTGCAGTAGAAACTCGAAGCATTTGTAAGATCTTTAAACCACTTCAGCTGATAAGACTCTCTGATAACAAACTGTTTCTATCTTTGTTTTGTTTTTGCAGTCACAACAATTAAATTGTTAAGCCTCAAGAGCTGTTTAGATAGTTAGATTATACTATCTGTAATCAGTAGGTTATCACAAATTTTTGATTGCCTGTCGGTTGCTTGTTGCTATGATAGATATTGAATAAAATAAGATTTCTATATTGATTTAAGTGCCAGCTACAGCTGTTTTAAGTTTTCTGAACTTCGCATAGAACTTTCGCAGTTGGATTTGCAAATAGTAAAAATAGCGGAGAAGAAAATCATTGAAAAAGTTACCTTAATATTATTTTTTTTTTTTTTTTATATATATCATTGATGCTCTGCTTTCTCGCTCACTTTACCTATAAAACATTTTCTCATTTTCTGTGTAATTTTATTATCTCAGATCTGGTATTTGCATGTTAAGCTCCACGAACTTTTATCAAAACGTAAAGAAAAAACAAAGTTCTTTTCCATTTTGGCATTTTATCTGTTCAGCGTTTCACGCTTGAACTATTTTAGTTATTTTCATTCGAATTGGCACCGAATGCTTTAAAGCATCTTCCACTAGCCGAAATACTCTCACATGAGCATTAAATTCCCTACAAATACAAATACATGTATGTAAATAAATACATATACATATATATAGAAATCAATGCATGTGCAGGGAATGTACATATGTATATATATGTACGTATGTATATAGCACTGCACATTTCCCATGCCAAAGTCAATTTGGTGGAAATATTCTTAAAATTCAGGTCACGTCTGCGTAAATCAAACTATTTAAAATTCTCTCCACATTAAACTCGCATTTTAATTATGCATGAGAAGATAAAGTGTTTCTGTTTTCATCATGTTTTTATCTAATATCAGCGGAACATGCAACCCCGTGGAAAATGAGGCATGTGCAAAGAGCTGCAAAAAACAAAAAAAAAAAAAGCTGCATTACTCTGTCCCAAAGGCGTGGAAATATTCTATTAATTGTGTCATATTCTAACGGCTCAGCTAAAAATGTCATTAAAAACGTTTTTCACACGCTTTGCGCTGGTCACAAACATTAAAATAGTTGCTGTTGGTGCAAATCAGCTAAATGATTTGCAGATACCCTAAGTTGGGTCACAAAAAGAGGAGTCTTTTAATGGAAGAATATAATATTTATTAATAAACATGTATATCTATTTATTCAGCCAAGTCAAAAACAAAATTTTTAAAATTTTATAACAAAATTAAAGGTTTCAGGGTATTTTTTAGTCGAGCATATTCAAAAATTTTTAATGAATAAAATTAAAATATTTAAAAATGTTGCACTATATATATTCTTTTCATCTATAAAATAAAAAAAAATGAAAATTAAAAATTTCAATAAATAAATATTCAAATGAAAAAAAAAATATGTTAAATGAAATTTGTTTTCTATTTTTAACAAAAATTTTATTTTTGAGTTTATTCTCAATATTTAATTAATTAATCAACAGCGAATGAAATGCAAATAAAAAATCAATAGGAAAAACAGGAATAAATAATTAAGCGCATTGAATAAATCAACTGAATAATTAACATGCTCACGGCACATGTTATTCACGTGTTTGTTGTTAAACAAAATACGGTTTAAAGCCATTTCGTTGCTGCTTATGCAAATACTAATTTGTATGGATTGTGAGTATCTTATGGATACACGCGATCCGTTCGTGAAATGCTTAAGCCACTGCTTACTCATTGCGAACAGTCATTGACTTGCTTTCTGGACCTGCGCTCCAACTTCACTCAAAACACTGACTGAAACCAAATTAATTACTAGTCTCAAGTTGGTTGTGTTGAACCCACAACGCACTTGCCAGTTAGGGAGTAAAAAAGCGAATTGAAAAATAAATCAAATAAGCGCAATGAGCAGGCAGCTGGTAGCAGGCAGCAGCTGTGAAGAGGGCAGGTTATTCAACCTTAACATTGGCAACACCTTCGCATAAGTCGAATACCAGAAACAGTTGCTTAATTAACAGTTGCTTAATCACATTTACTCAGTTGCTGCTAGTGGGTTCAATGCTCAATTGAAGTGGGAGTTGGGGGTGTTTTACTATTTGCAATGTACGTTGTCAATTACACTGTGAGAAAACTGCGTTCATTATTTGAATATTTGCGGACAAGTATGTTAATCTGCAACGAATGAAAGCATTGTTCAATATATAAAGAAAAGAATACAAAGTGAAATAACTTTAAAAAATAACTTAATAATTGAGAGAGAAAATACGTTTGATAAAAAATTTAAAAAACTGAAGATATTGGAAAGCTTATTCAAAACTAAAACAAAACTAAAAAGTCTTCAATTTTGAAGCACAGAAAATATCTAAATTGATTTGTAATAAAAAATATACTTATGAACAAAATTAATAAGCAATAAATCGAATAATAAATAAATCAAAAAATATTTAAAAATAAATAATATATTATTCTAATATCGTGCTGATGATTTTGACTATAAATATTGATATATCTTATTTC